TGCACAATTGGTGGCTGACTAAATACTTTTCCCCACTGTATATAAATTCAACATTGAAACTTCTCTGCGTTTCTTAACTTTTTATGAATGATTTATATTATAAATGTAAAAATATTTGATTATTGATTAATTATTACTACAATTACCTACTTAATATTCATTCATACATGTATTTATTTTTACTGGTGTTATTTAAACCAGGTTTTTCATTGCTTTCCCAGTGAAATAAATACAGTAAAACATAAAGCACAGTTTCACTTCACATTTTATTACAATCTTTCCTAGTACTTCTGCACAGATAAACATTTGCCATCATAAGTATGCAAGCTGTGGTGGGTTAATTTATTAAACCTGCCCCTTGTGACGTTTCTGTTAATGCAAAGCAGAAACCCCAGAAACAGAGGAGTACAAATGCCATCGACACACTGCATCTAGTGTCAGAGCAGCCGTAGGCGTCACTGGCGGGCGGAAAACAACAAACAGTGTTGAGATGAGAATGGTGGTTGTCACATTGAACGAAAGGAGAGCACTCATGAGTTTCAAACCTCAGTATGCACTTCATACGTAAAGGTGTAATTCAGATGTTATTATTAAAAAAAATATGCAAAATGAAAGTGGGAGGAATAATAGTATGACATTTTAAAAAGAAATCAAGATGTATGAGAATATATAGAAAATGAAGGGCTGTCAATTTAATATTTTAATAACTTCATCTGGGGACTTTCCTTGCATTAATTTATCTTGCATTTTGACCAATTCTCCAAAATCTCAAAATCTTTCAAATGAATGATTATTCCATCTAAAAATATGTGGCCATTCTTTCGGTTTAGCGAAGAATTGGGAGCAAGGGAGCAAGGGAAGGGTCTGAAGAGTGCGGCATCCCCCAAAGCTATGTACTGGGTTCGTTTTGGATTCAGTCGGAATGACGATCCTGTCTGCAAAGGTCTTATCAGAGTGTTTGTTTCCAAATCAATAGAGGGGCGCTGAAGCAAATTCTCAATGCTATATGGATGATGAACTCGCAAATATCGGTGGAGGAGGTGTGCCGATCGATAATCGCTCACATCAGAAAATGAAACCAGGATGGGCAAACAACAAAAAGGAGAAAAGAAATACAAAGCGACAACCAGACCCTTTATTTGAATGTGACATGGCATTTGATAAGACTAGAAGTTACACTGAAGAAAATTTTTCCAATTCATGAGCAGGACATCTAGTATGTACACCTCATTGTGGGTCACTTGACCCGGATCGCCTCTCAGTAGTCTAAGACCTCTATAGCACCTTGAGAAGGCAGATTGCGTATCTGTTTAATATCACCTATGACTATACGCTTAAATGTACGCCACTTCAACCTCTTGAATAAAAATGATAAATTCAGCTTTTTTTTCCATCTTCCGACATTGTGTTGCAAAGATTCACCAAAATAAAAATCACTAAAAATAACCATCATAACAACAACGGTAATCATAAAAAAAAAAAACAGACATGGTGAATAGTATTCAATATCAACGTCTACCAAGTATGCTACAAAAACAAATCATCGGTGTCTGAAAAAACATTTTATCTTTGATTATAGAAGAATACATGAAGACGCGCGAATCTATCGTAACACAAATGTGTACACTAACTGAAAACTGTAGCTTCTGATGCTGCCATAATTGATTTTCTTTATACAAATATTAAACCTATATGTGACAAAAGACATTTAAATACTTGTTAAATCCCATGAGCCCAGCTAAAACTCTTCCTCCACCCCCACCCCCCCCCGAACACTTGAGTACAGATAAAAATACCTGAAACTGTACAGATATAGACTGTCTATTTGAACTGTGACCGGGTAGCATGATGTTTTGGCTTGAGTTAGAAAAATATTTAGCACTCATTAGAGAAAAAAATCAGGTATAAATTTAACAGCACATACAGTGAATGATTATCCCATCTAAAAACGGCGGCTCTTTCCGTTTAGTGAAAGAACCAGAGCGAGGGATCGTGGAAAGGGTCGGAAGAGTGCGGCGTCCCCCAAGGCTATGTACTGGGTCCGTTTCGGCTTCAGTCTATAATGACACGCATGCGTCCCACGCGCACCATTCATGGGTGGGAAACTCAGATTAGCACGACAGCGAATAAATGAAACAAAGACATGCAGTGGATGAATTTAAAGTCTGTATGAAGCATTGACAAATAGCTGGTAGCGCATAACAGTGCTTCAATACATTGGCTCAACGCCATGTTCACCCTCTTCTGGAGGAAAGTCCGAGTTGAGGAGAGACTCCATGTAAGCTATGTAGCTGGAGCTGTGGGTGTAACTCTCACTGGGTTCCGGGGCAGGAAGTGTGGGTGCAGAAACAGGAAGTGATGTGGGGGGAGGCAGGCAGGGGGCAGTGCTGGTGTTTGGAGTAATAGTAGCGGGCAGGAAAGCGGTGACTATTCCTGGAGGTAGCGCCGAGGGCTCAATGGCTAGTGTGGGTGGCGGCGTCGGCAGACGTGGGCGTTTCGCGGCCAGAGGTTCGTCTGACGGTTGCGCCTGAGGTTGTTGTTGGTTCACAGTTGCCTGTTGAAAAGGAAAAAGAAGACAATAATCGTTCAGCGATGTCAGTCAGAACCCTCCAAATGGACTCCAACTGCACTGTTAGCTTGAAAAACCACGAAAGCCGTAAAATGTTAAACCTGCACTTTGACTTCACGTTGATGAATTCTGTGTGCAGAAACATACGGTACTTGGCCCGAAGTGAATAAAAGCGCTTACCAGACGAGACATGACCCTCTTAGGCAGCTCTTGGTTCAGAGTGTGAATCTCGCTGCGCTTCAGTAAGATCTGCGTCTCATCCTGAAACTCCACCTGGAAAGAAATACAGGGAGTTTAAATGCCTCGGATCCTTGTCTTGGAACCACTTACCTTCATACAATCCAAGTTTAGAAAAACTAACTAGCATCATTTCCAAGCTTTTGTGTCAGTTTGCTTGGCGGCCATCTTTCTAACACTCTTGGGAGACAACTTTCCAGTTATACAAGTACAACATAGAAAATATATATAAAAAAAAACGGTTGAAAATCTGTTAAATGTTGTTAATTAAATTAAAAAGAAAAGCAATTATATATAAATAATTTCATCTTTAAATATAACACTCAATTATATGTGTGTGTGTGTGTGTGAAATACTTAAATTCAAATTAAATATAATTATTATATATAATATAAATGTATAATTATATATTAATGAATGTGTGTATATATATACACACACACACACACACACACACACACATATATATACATATATATAGTAATATTAATATTTATTAATAAATATTAATATTAATCTAAATACATATTAATTATATAAATTATTTATATTACAATGTAAAAATAATTATTTATGTAAAATAATGAAATGAAATATTTAAATATGTATTATATTTACATTTATTTAAAATACTCAAATTTACACGTATAATAAAATACAAATGTCATTTAAATATGTTTAAAATATTTCACTAAATCAATTATAAGTACTATATAACAAATATAATTTTTATTTTCTCATGTTGTAAATGACATGTACATATATTTTTATATTATTTTAAATAAATAGAATCATATAAAATGATGATATGAAATGATATATATATATATATATGAATTTAAATATGTACAAAATATAAAAAAAAAATTTTATTATAAAATGTAGGGCACATGTCCTGACATTACATAAATCCACATGAATTATGTAATGCAAAATCTAATGCTAATGTATCAATGCTGTTGATAGAGCTGTAAAAACTGCATTTAACCCAGAATATTCCTTTAAATCTCTTATATTTTTGATTGGAAGAGCATCCAACAACAACATAAGCTGCAAACTTTCAACCAGTCTGCAATCAACACCCTCTTCCATATCAATTCCCAACGGCTTCAAGACCTGTCAGACTTACAGACATCCAGTTACAGATCGCCCGCAGCGAGTGGGAGAGCGTTTGTCACGTCTTGCAAAGGTAAAAGTGACGTCATGAAAGCAATCGGCACTTGTTACGAGTGCCATGACTCACACGGATCTGATAAATAATGGAGTCTTGTGGCGGAGCAGAGAATCAAGCGGTTCGTTAATGCTGACAGAGGAGTCTCTCAAGAGTTCAGCCGAGCAGTGAAACACTGTGTGTGTGGGTTTGAGTTTTAATGAGAAAGAATTTGACGTGAAGCAAAACTAGTTCATACAATGTGTCAAACAATGTATTAACATAGTTTGGTAAGCCTCATTTTAGGAGAAAAACTGAAAAAGCATGTTCGGATAAGCTTTCTGGTAGTTTCTGAGTCACTTTTCCATTCAAATGTGACCCAGATGTGAATTAAAGCATCGACCCATCACTGCACAAGAACACAAAAGCACTTCCTGTGAGGAGCAGCGTGTGTACGTGAAATAGCAGATGAATGGCGGTCTACTCTCGCCGTCTGCGGTCCATCACACCTCATAAGCTTCATCTACAGACTCCGTAAATCCCCCATGCGCCACATCTGCCTACTTTTCTCATTTTCCCATTAATCTCGGCTCCCTTCCGCTCAATACATCAACGGCTGCTCTGTGTACGAGGAAAGCGAACTTTGCACCAAATGTGGGACTCCTGAAAGACTCGGATGAGATGTGGAATTACAAGAAACTGACTTCAAGATTTAGGTTCTTGACTTAAAAATTGGGTGTCACTACGGGTCTTAACTATATACAGAACAAAACAATAAAATATAATAATATACAATTAACTATAATACAGTAGAAAACAAACAGCAAAGCAAACAAAGACAGTAATGAAATTGTTTGGTTTTAAATGGATTACTCTTTATATATATATATATAGGGCATAAATAAATAATTTAGACGTTGTAGTTACCTGGTAGTATCGTTGGACGTGTTCCTTTATGAAAGACGCGTTGAGAACCCGTCCATCGATTGTCTTGACCACCACGAATTCGCCCAGTTCTGGAGGGCCGTTCCTCAGACAGTCGTGACTCTGGGACAGAGAAATCAAACAGACAGTTGTAGCTCTAAAATCTGATTGGATGAGCCGAATTAATGGTAGATTTAGCCAATCTAGATTTCGACCAATCAGCATCCAGGACCAGAGCTATGCATTTTAGACCACAATAAGCCACAAGATGCCAGACATTACAGTTATTTATTTATTCCCCATGACTAAGGTTTCAGTAACCAAAATCTCTCAAATCTGTTTGGATGAGCCAAACAAATTCGCCAAAGTGTGGAAGCCCATTTCCATCATAGCATTAAAAAGGGTAATTGCGACTACCGTATTGACCCGAATATAAGACAATGTTTTTTTCTTGGAAATACATCTGAAAAAACGCGGTCGTCTTATATTCAGGGTCTAGACTTTGACACGTCAATAATACACGCCTTTTGATTTTAAAACGTAAGACAGTACCCAGATTTGAAGACTACAGTAAGATTGAACTTCTACTGTTAATAAGATATTGGCAGGCTACTATTAGATGGATAGCCTAAATGTCCTAATTCAGATGGGCTACCTGTTTTTTTTTTTTTTTTTAAAGTGTATATTTTTTTAATGTGATTGTTGGTACATTTTACCAGTTTTTACCATACTTTCAAAACAAAAATTAAAATAGGAAAAATATGCAATATGAAAATAATTGAAGACAAAATGTGTTTTACTGAGAAAAAACAAGATTTGTTTTTTAAAAAGCCTTTTTCCAAAAGGTACATCTGAGAAAAGGGGGGTCGTCTTATATTCGGGCCAATACGGTATTTATCTCACAATTCTGACTTTTTTTCACAGAATTGCATGATATAAACTCATAAATTATGAGTTACAAAGTCAGACTTTTTCTCAGTTTTTTCATACAATTCAGACTTTATTTTCACAGAATTACGATTTTATATCACTCAATTCTGACTTTTTTTTCTCACAATTCAAACTTTTTTTCCTGCAATTGCGACTTATTATATCATGCAATTTGGACTTTTCCACACAATTCTTACTTTTTATCACAAATGTGACTTTTTCCATCGCGATTCGATTTTTTTTCTCTCGCAATTGCGAGTTTATATCACGTAATCCTGACTTTTCTCAGAATTGTGAAATATAAACTCACGAATGCATGCTATAAAGTCAGAATTGCGCAGATACTCACAATTCGGAGAAATTAAGTCAGAGTTGTGATATAAACTAAAAAAAAAAAGTTTATATATCTTGCAAATCTTAAAGAAAGAAGTCAGAATTGTGAGATGTAAAGTTGCAATTACCTTTTTTTATTTTTATTTAGTCGTGGAAATGGACTTCCAGACCAAAGCCACTTGGCAACCATGATCACCATAATAATGAAAAAACATTCTCACCAGCAGGTTCTCTGGGAAGACATTATCACAGTAGGAGCCGTCATCAAAGTTGACCTCGTAGTAGTTCTGCGTGCCGATGCCGGTGATGGTGCAGCGATAGAACCAACCGTTGCTGCTCCTCCCGATGACCTCCTGACCTAAAGACAGCTCGCGGGAGCTGTTTTTGACCTGCAGTGGAGGCAAAGCGTCAGTTTGAGGATCACTGTGTGCATTGAGATCCCTTCTATAGCAGCTACGCACCTTCTGATTGGTCTGTTTGTGTTTGTGGCAAGTGACGGACACCACATACGGCCAATCGGCCGGCTTCATGACGACTCCGGCGAGGAGGGCGCAGGTGACGTGGAAGGACGTGGAGCAGTTGTCCAACGAGCACTGGATACACGCGCCGAAGATCTGCTTGGTCGTCTTGTGGCAGTAGACGCACTTCTGCAAATCGTAACGAGGAAACATGAAACTTGAGTTGCAACCTTTGTAGCATGACGAACTTCCATACTCAATGACGAAAAGTGATTTTATCCATCAGGAAAAGGGCACTGGAGCCAAGGCCGAATGGAAGTTCAGTGCTATAAAGCTATTAGGCTAATGTTAAACAGCTAAAGAACGTCTTTTTTAATAAAATATTACAAATACAAACATTTATTAATGTGTGAACTACAATAAAACATCCAAAATAATCACAAAGATAGTCAATTTTAGAAAAGTATAAAAACCCCCAAAGAAAAAGCATAAGAGTTCATTAAAAAAAAACTACAAAGAAAAATGGAATAAACAAACAGAAATGGAGAACAAAGCAACAAACTAGTAAAATAAATAAATAAAATAAAAGACACAAACGGAAGAATGAAAGAACAAACTGCAGTACACCGAGAACACATCCAGTCCTCCTGTTTCGTGTCGGGATTAACGCCGTAACAACCTGAGAGAAACGAGAACGGAAACTTAGCCGTCTAGGAACCAAACTAATAATGTGCATTCAGATTTATTTATTTATTAAACATATTTTGTATGTTTCAACAGTGTACGTTATTTACAAAGATAAATAGTTTCTGTAATTTTCCACCAACAACATCTTTCTCCTCAGTTTGAAATAGTCCTGTGGCTCAGTGGCAGAGCATTGCGTAAGCAGCGCAAAAGGTCATGGGTTCGATTCCCAGGGAACACACATACTGGTAAAAAATGTATAGCCTGAATGCACTGTAAGTCGCTTTGGATAAAAGCGTCTGCTAAATGCATACATTTAATTTAATTTAAATTTTAAGAGAAATAAGAAAATAAGACTAAACAAAAACAGATATAACAAGCAGAAAAGTAAACAAAATGTAAAAAAAATATTTAAAATAAAAACCAAAGAAAATAAGCACAAACAAAAGCATAAAAGAATGTAAAAAAGAACAAATTAATAAAAAAAAATGAAAGCAAAATATATATAAACATACTGTGAACAGTTCACTAGTGTACGTAATAAAAAAAATAAAAAACGGGTTTTCTAATTTTCCATTAAAAACAACTTTATTCACCTACATTTAATGCAAAAAGAATTCAAGAGAATAGAAACAAAATAAGAGAGCAGAAAAAAAACAAAAATCAAAAAGAAACAATTGGAAGAACAAAACCAAAGAAAACAAACAAAACAAAACAAAGAATGAAGGGGAAAAAAGCACAAACGAAAACATAAAACAAAGTAAAAACAAACGAAACTAAAATAAATTAAACATGATATGTTCGATTCATTAGCGTATGTTACTTAAAAAAACAATGTAGGCGGGGACAAATAATAATAACCAATAACATCATAGCACACCTTTAACGAGCCAATCAAATCACAATTAATCAATCAAAACTGAAGGAAAAAGGAACAATGATGAAAGAACAAACGAATGAACAAAAACTCAAATATATTAAATATATTGTGCGCAATTCAGTAGATTTTGTCATTTTCGATGAAGAAAACTTTAAAACCTTAAATTTTAGGCAGGGACAAATAATAATAACCAATAACATCATAGCACACTTTTAATGAGCCAATCAAATCACAGTTAGTAAATCAAAACCATTACTCCTAAAAAAAAAAGAAAAGAAAAGAAAAAAAAAAAGAATAAATAAATAAATAACTTTTTAGATTTGGAGCAATTAAACAAGCTTAGAAAGTGCAAACAAAATGAACACGTCACATTTGAGACTCGAGCATCACGCGAGAGCGCCGATGTCGAAGCCGACGTTCCCCGTAATTACCGAAGCCACTAGAAGGCAAGCCTGCAACCTTTAGCCGAAAAAGTGTAACGGCTAAAGCTAACGCTTCCGGTTTGCCAGTACGTGGGAAAGGAGACCAGAGGCTGTTTATTTGAATGGATGTCAATGGAGGAGAGGC